GGGTGGGATGGGGTGGGGTGGGGTTTGTGGGTTGTGTGGGTGTGTGGGGTGTATTGATCCTTGTGTCATTGACAAGTAATATCTTATATAAATACTAATTAGAGTTGGTCTTGGATGACAGCGATATCCGAGGGGTGACTCTAGGCACTGTCACACTAGTATTTATTTTATTTTACTGAAAGTCCTTAAATAACAAAGTTTTCAAAGTAACAAATACATGTAAATTGTATTTTCATCAACAAATTTAACAGTGAACTATTCAAGCTTTGACGTTTGACGGTACTGGTTGCATGCTTTTAAGAGTCCTTATCTGTCAACAGTTTATCCAAATCACCCGAATTGACATCTGCAAATCTTGCCGTTTTTTACGTAGCAGACAGGCGATTGTTTATCCCAACTACCACGTAAATGAAGCGCTTGGAAATCTTACTCATCTCAGCAGGTAAGATTCTTAAGTTGTCAAACACGAGGCTTGCCGAGTGTTTGGCAATTTAAGAATCTTTCCCCAAGGGTTGAGATTCCCCTATCTCACCCACATGGGGGTGAATGATTCTTTTTCTCTTACCCTGTTCTCCCAATGTGTATCATATACACAATGTAATGATAGCGTTACATGCTAAATTTAGGGTTGACGTGACGTTGAAGGATTGTTGACGTGACGTCATTGTATTGTTGAAGTGACGTCATGCCATGTTATGAATAGGGGATTCCCCCTTTCAACCCTAGGGTGAGATAACGAAATCTCACACCGGTAAAAGTGCGGATACACCTGTCCAGGGTAAGAGAATGTTATATATCCTGTGCATTTTTACCAATTGTGATAGCAGTAGATTTTTATTTCATTAATACCTGGGTGATTATTTCCTTTCAAACTTTTTTAAGACCTATCCAAACGTTTAACTTTTATAGACTCTGACTGATCTAATGACATACTGGGTGTGGTGGAGACCCCTGGGGGCTGTGTGGTGGGCGGCACCTCACTGGTGGCCTGCCAATCAAACAGAAAACCCTGGCCTGTGGCTGAGAAGTCGGTGTGAAACTCCACTCTTAGCTGGTTTGTGGTGGTCAAGACTGGATCAGGGATGGTCAGCCCACAGTATCTTGCGATCTCAGGGCTGTCAGCCGCACCTCCGTCACGAAACTAGGGGACAAACAATTGCAGAATACAAACGGTTTTATGAAAACTTGAATAATTTTATGGTCTATGGTAAATGTTTTGCTATAAAATACTACATATATGTATCATTTATAAAAGATATCTTACATTTTTCTTACTGGGAAAAATTATCACTAAGAGTTGTTCTTGATTATTAACATTTTGTTTTTGGTAATCTCTTGAACGATCTCATCCAAATTCCACTTTTTCTTATTAAGAAAAGTGAATTAAAAATGATGAAAGAAGACCCTGTACGATATGTAAACCTGTATAAACAGGACAATTAACTAGGTCCTATTTTATAGTATGTGTAGCACATTTTTATCTTAATTATACTTGTATAATCAAAAAACCTGTTTAATCAGAAAACCTTTATAAATGAGAAATATAAAAAGGTTCCACTGTATATATTTCTATATAAACTCAACCTGTGTTATCAGAAAACCTGTATAAACCAGAACTACAACTAGAAACTTGTTTTTGTGAACAAATACATATGTCTCCCCTCATGAGCCAAAAGACAAACCTCGGTATAAAAAATTATCGAAGGGCCATACATCTTTGTAATAAATAGTGGGGCACAAGACCCGAATTTAGAATGCAACACACCTACTTCCCAAGAAATATAACTATAGCAAGTTTGGTCAATATAGGTGAAATAACATGGAAGTTATGCCGTGGACAAACTTAGGTATTAAAAATAAACAAAGGGCCATAACTCTGTATAAAAGGGGGCATAAAACCTGAATTTAGTGCGAGATATTCCGCCTTTCCAAGATACATGAATATTGTAAGTTTGGTCAACGTAGGTGAAATAACATGGAAGTTATGCCGTGGACAAACTTAGGTATTAAAAATAAACAAAGGGTCATAACTCTGTATAAAGTGGGGCACGAGACCTAATTTCAGTGCACTGCACACCTTCTGTGGGTGAAGCAGGTATACTTCAAGTTTCATCAAGATATCTTTAAAGGTTTAAAATGTATGGCCCAGACAAGTGGCGGGGATTAGAAGAACCGAAAGAAGAACCAGTACTGATACAATATGTCTAGGCCCCACTTTATACATTTCTACGTAAACTAATTCACCTGTGTAATCAGAAAACCTGTACATAGGACTATAACTATGTCCTACTGTATACATATCTTTGTTAACTGTGTAATCAGAAAACCTGTACATAGGCCTATAACTATGTCCCTCTGTCTACATATCTTTGTTAACTGTGTAATCAGAAAACCTGTACATAGGCCTATAACTATATCCCTCTGTATACATATCTATGTCTACTGTGTAATCAGAAAACCTTTACATAGGACTATAACTATATCCCTCTGTATACATATCTATGTTAACTGTGTAATCAGAAAACCTGTACATAGG